CCCCAAAACCCCAAAACCCCAAAACCCCTAAATTAACACTAAAAGTTGAATATTTATTACCATCATGGAGATAAAACAGTTACCTCAATATAACTTTACCAGAATTCTTCCCATCAAGAAGAAGGAAGAGGGCAAATTTAACATTGATAGTTCAAAATTGACGGAAAAATCGAGCTTTACTGTGTTGAATCCAGGAAATTTACCGTCAAAGTTTGGTGTAATATCTCTTTCTGCTTCTAAATAAGGAGAAAAGACTGTAATCTTGAGCCATAATATTATAGTAAATCTTCAAAAAAGAAGGTTCGCAAGGCAAAAATGATCAAAAGGTGTCTATCTGCTGTTGATAACTTAAAAATAAGGGTACATCTCTAACCAATTTTCTCTATTTAACTCTTTAGAAAAAGCGAAGGAGTCAGAGCGTCGTTACTCAAGACACTCCGGAGAAGAAGAATATACTAAACATCAGCATTAAGAGAGACACTTTTATTCACAGAAGGACTCCTGTAAAATAAGCAAAGTAGGAGCTTTCTCAAAATCTCTTCTAGAAACAGTTGTTAATAAATATCTGGACATCTTTGGTAAAAAGGATGCCCCTCCAGAGCCACTGGGAGTTGCTAAAATTCCCAAGATTAGCAGGTTCCATTCCCAAAAAGGTAAATTACTTCAGAACTTTAGACATGTCTCCCACCGAGGGGTCTACAGCAAAGAAGAGCAAAATCACAAGGAGCAAAACAAAGTTTTCTAATACTAGCGATATATTTGAACTTACCTTATGTGGCGTAGAGGAAAAGCAAAGGAAAGGAACAGCTAAAGAAAGACTCAAAGGAATCATTAGAATGACTTTAAAGTATAATTTTGACACAAAATTTTACGAAATCTTCGATTTTTGCATCTAAAATAACCTCTAACCCTATTCAAACTTCATTTCCCTACCTCCAACATCACCACTCCTCTAATTCCAAAAATCTCTCAAATAACATCAAATCTTTAGCACTAACAACAAGAATCCCCCTAAACCCTCAAATCTGGCTTCAAAATTCAAGCCTACAGCAGTAAGCACACCACCATCCCCATTTCCCCTCCATCGAGCTCCTCCAAAACAATTTTCCTCATATTTTCCACCTTTAAACACCAGTACCCCTCCTTAAGCCATTCTTCCAAAATTCAAAATTATTTACACAACAAATTTCTCACTCAAAATTTCCTTCAGCCTCAAAAAGGCAGATTCTGGCTTCCAGATGCTAAAGAGGCCGATTTACTGGATTTTATATATTTTCATAGAAATTACAACACAACTGGAGAGCAAAGTCAGCTCCTGATGTAAGACAAACCAGGACATATGAACAAGGAAGTATTAAATAAAGCAGCAGAAATTTTGAGAAGGAGAAGAGAAGGCTGGTCAACGAAAGAGCTAGAGCAAGATCAAGAAGAAAATAAAGATAATGATAATTGGGACTTTGGAGATCAGATAGATTTTAAGTATACAAAAATGCCTTGATTTAAAATCCCTGTTGATAAAACAGAGAAATATCGTGAAGCGTATCTTAAGAAGATGGATAGAAGGACTAACAAGCTTGAGACTCACTATGGGAGTGAGACCAAAGCTTCCGTTCTCAGTGAATCAGTACAAATTTTAAATAACTCTATAGCAATGCTGATGTATATCGAGAGGAAATATTATAGAGGCATTTATAGAGAAATAAAACTACCCAATTACGAGGAAAGAAGATCTTAACTTCTCAGCAACGCTTGGATATCTTAAAATCACTCACATTTGAGAAAATAAAAAGAAACCCTCATTATTTAGCGCTTAACCTCTCTGAAATTTATATGGCTCAGACCTATGATGTATTAACAATAAAGAACAAGGATTTATGACAATGTAAAGCTAAGCAATAGAAAATCATGACTGTTTATATTTCAACAAAATCTTTGTAGATCGGGGTTTTGGGGTTTTGGGGTTTTGGGGTTTTGGGGTTTTGGGG